AGAAACGTGGAAAATAATCTTAGAAGATTAGCATTTTTTAAAAGATTTTATTGGGGCTGGCACTGTGGTACAGTGGGTTAAAGCCCCAGTCTGCAGTGCCAGCATCCCATATGGGCACCGGTTTGAGTCCCAGCTGCTCTACTTCCAACCCAGCTCTCTTCTATGGCCTAGGAAAACAGTGGAAGATGGCCCAAGTACACCGGCCCCTATACCCATGTGGGAGACCCAAAAGAAACTCTTGGCTCCTGGCTTTGGATCAGCTCAACCCTGGCTGTTGCAGACATTTGGGGAGTGAACCAGTGGAAGGAAGACCTCTCTCTCTCTGGCTCTACCTCTATCTGTAACTCTATCTTTCAAATAAATAAAAATAAATATTTAAAAATAACATCAAATGGACAAGATTTAAAAAAAGATTTTATTGATTTATTTGAGAGGTACAATTACAGACACAGAGAGGGAGGGATAGAAAATATTTCATCCATCTGCTGGTTCACTCCCCAAATGGCCTCAATGACCAGAGTTGAGTCACTCAGAAGCCAGGAGCCAGGAGCTCCTTCAAAGTCTCCCATGTGGGTGCCAGAGCCCAAGCACTTGGGCCATCTTACACTATGTTCCCAGGCCACAAGCAGAGAGCTGGATCAGAAAATGAGCAGTCGGGACACAAACAGGTACCCATATTGGATGCTGGTGCAACATCACCAGCCCCCAGAAAATTTGAATTTGAGAGTCAACGTCTGGAAGGAGAATGAAGAAATAGAGAGGAAGAATTGGAGATGACATGATCACTAACCATTAGACATAGAGTAGTCAGAATAGTGAAGAAAAAGACAGAAAGCGTGAACACAATTCAGTACTAATTGATTATGCAGAGGGTTGAAAGTGGAGTTCAGTTCCATGATGTGTGCATGAAAGACTGCGTGGACACTGGCACAGGAAGTGAAATTGGGAAAAAATCAACAAGAATATGATGCAAAGAAGGGAGACTGGTACCCATACGGGATGCTGGCACTACAGGCCATAGCTTAACTTTTAAGTCTTGAAAAAAAAGATTGTTTACACACAATTTATACCTGCAAGACTCAAAGAATCTCCTGAAAACACCTATTTGGTTGGTTCAATATAAAAAGAATACTGGAGCCAACATTGTGATGTAGCAGGTTAATCCACTGCTGGCAACACTGGAATCCCATATAGGTGCCAGTACAAAACTTCTCTGTACCACTTCCCACCCAGCTCCCTGCTTAAGGTATCACAAAGCAGAAGATAACCCAAGGGTGTGGTCTCTTCCACCCACATAGGACATATGGAAGAAGCTCCAGGATCCTGGCTTCAGACTGTCATAGCAGCAGTCAATGCAGCCATTTGTGTAATGAATCAGCAGACAGAACCTCTCTCGCTCTCTCCTCTTTCTGTAACTCTTCCTTTCACATTAATAAATAAATCATTTTGAAAAAAAAAGATGAAACATGACCACTGCTGGACAATAGTGGGAATCAGAAAGTATTCTTATTTTATATATTATTGTTTAACGTTGCCTCCTCCAGTTCTTCTAAAAAGTACAAGCAATCCTTTGGGAAATGATAGCAATCTGTCATCTCCAAAGTAACTGATACCTGAAGGTTATGGCCAGGCAAACACTGTTAAATTTGTGAACAGTTAAATAGACCTCAGATGCTTTCAAATACTCAAAATTGGCCAACAGAAAGGACAATGAAGCATACATAAAACATGGTTAAAAAATCATAAAATGAAAGATTAAAACATCATCTCAAACAACTATCTAAGTCCACTTTTCATTGTCAGAAGCAATCCAACTGACAAAAAGTACTGAGTGTTTAAGCCATAGAGGCCAAGGGTGATAGATAGGAAATGCAACACCTAAGCAATCTAACCCCGAGAGTCTTTGCCAAAGGCTGCAATGTGGATTGCAGAGGAAGGATACTGCAGAGAGCAGAGACATGTGCAGTGAGGTGCATAATCAAGGCCTCAGTAGAGTGTGTGCCATGTGAACTTAGGTCACTCCCTATTTCTGCCTCCATGATAGACAAATTGCTATGATGATCCCCTGCCCTTTCAGACTCCTACTTTTTTCAGATCATAAAGCAATCTGAAAATCTGAAAAACTGAAAAGTTATTCTTGTTATCTTGCTCATGCTCTCAACCTCTACATGGGGTACACAGAAAGCACATAACTTGTTTCCTCTGTTAACAGGTCTATGGATCAAGGGTAGCTACATCTGGAGACAACTTGGTTGTCTGGCATTATTCTAGATTCTGGATTTGAGTGTAAAATGATGGAAACATGGGACATTGTGGTCTCTGGTTATGAGAAAAAGTCAAGATACCTGTGGGATGGCCAGTGCCGTGGCTCACTTGGTTAATCCTCTGCCTGCAGTGCCAGCATCCCATATGGGCACCGGGTTCTAGTCCTGGTTGCTCCTCTTCCAGTCCAGCTCTCTGCTGTGGCCTGGGAAGGCAGTGGAGGATGGCACAAGTGCTTGGGCCCCTGCACCCGCATGGGAGACCAGGAAGAAGCACCTGGCTCCTGGCTTCAGTTTGGCATAGCGCCTCCTCTGGTGGCCATTTGCGGAGTGAACCAACAGAAGGAAGACCTTTCTCCCTGTCTCTCCCTCTCATTGTCTATAACTCTGTCAAATAAATTAAAAAAAAAAGTTACCTGTGGGAGAAGCGACATTCCAGCATGTGATGACCAGGGACCACTCATCCTCAGTGTTGTTTCCTGTGAGAGGATCTTACACCCCTATTCCCATACTGAAAAATGCAGACAAGGCCACATGACTCTTTCCAGATACAGTGGAAGAAAATTTTGTCACATTTGATAAAATCACAGAAAATCACTGTTCTTTCTCATCCAGCCACAGTGACCATCAGTAGACACCATTCTATCAGCCTGAGGTCAAAATGACAGCTGATGCACAGCTTAAATGTGGAAGCCTTGAAGAAGCTGGGTCATTGGTTACCTGAGAAAGCCATTAAAAGACCATTAGCTGCAGTAGATGGCGCTCACAGATAGATGGCACTGCAAGTCCATGGGTTATAGCTATGGAATTTTTAATAAATAGTGCTTAACACAAATACAGAGAAAAGGGGCCAGTGTGTGGCACAGCAGGTTAATGCCTTGGCCTGAAGCGCTGGCATCCCATATGGGTGCAGGTTCTAGTTCCAGCTTCTCCTCTTCTGATCCAGATCTCTGCTATAGCCTGGGAAAGCAGTAGAGGATGGCCCAAGTCCCTGGGCCCCTGCAGCCACGTGGGAGACCCAGAAGAAGCTCCTGGCTCCCAGCTTTGGAATGGTGCAGCTCTGGCCATTGCAGCCATCTGGGGAGTGAACCATCGGATGGAAGACTTCTCTCTCTGCCTCTCTTCTCTCTGTAACTCTGTCTTTCAAATAAGTAAAATAAACCTTTTAAAAAAAGAAATTAAAAAAAAGTTTGGATCAATACACATAAATAAATAAATCTTAAAAAATACAGAAACAAGCTAAGATGGAATCCAAAGATCACATGAAATGTATAAAAACTTGACAACTACATGAGGTATATGATTTATAATTTTGAGTGAGAAAATTCCATAGCATTGTACTAAACACCAGGTGCCTAAAATAACAGAAATTTAGTTTCTCATAATTTGACACTATGCTGCCTGAAGTTTTGATTTCTTCTGAGGACATTCTCTTGTTTCAAGATCATCAAATTTCCAACATAACCTTTGGGATCTAGTCTGTTTGTCCTCCCATCTCTAGGGACTCTCTTTCAAAATCAGACTGGAAGGGCCAGCGCTGTGGCACAGTAGGTTCATCCTCCATGCCTGCGGTGCTGGCATCCCATATGGATGCTGGTTTGAGTCCCAGGTGCTCCTCTTCCAATCTAGCTCTCTGTTATGGCCTGGGAAAGCAGTAGAAGGTGGCCCAAATGCTTGGGCCCCTGCACCCATGTGGGAGGCTGGGAAAAAGCTCCTGGTTCCTGGCTTCGGATCGGCAAAGCTTCAGCTATTGTGGCCATTTGGGGAGTGAACCAATGGAAGGAAGACCTTTCTCTGTCTTTCCCTGTCACTGTCTATAACTCTACCTCTCAAATAAATAAATAAATAAATAATCTTTTATATATCAGATTGGATTAGGTCAGGCTATAAGATAACACTCAGACATCAATAGCCTCTGTATATAGACAATACCACAGCTGACATAGAACTTCTAACATCAATCCCATTCACAATAGCTACAAAAACAATCAACTACCTTGGAATAAATTTAAGCAATGTCAAAGATCTCTGTGAAGAGACATACAAAATATTAAAGACAGAAATGAGACAAAAAATGAAAAATTGTTCATGTTCATGGATTGTTGGAATCAATATCAAACTCCAAACTACTGAAAACAATTTAAAGATTCAATATACCAAGGACAATCTTCTCAGATATAGAAAAGAATGCTGAAATTCATATGGAAACACAGGAGTCCCTGAATAGCTAAAGCAATCTTATACAACAAAAACAAAGCTGGAGGCTTATTTAAGAGGTAGAGTTGCAGACAGTGAGAGGGAGGGAGAGAGGTCTTCCATCCACTGGTTCACTACCCAATTGTTCACAATGGCCTGATCTGGGCCAATCCAAAGTCAGGAGCCTGGAGGTTCTTCTAAGTCTCCTATGCAAACACAGGTGCTCAAGCACTTGGGCCATCCTCTACTTCCCTCCCAGTCCATAGCAGAGAGCTGCATTGGAAGAGGAGCAGCCAGGACTTCAACTGGTGCCTATATGGGATTCCAGCACTGTAGGTGGAGGATCAACTCACTGTATCACAGCACCGCCCCCAGGTTTCAAGATATACTATAGTGCAGTAATCAAAAGAGCCTAGTACTTGTTCAAAAACAGATGGATAGACCAATGGAACAGAATATAAATGCAGAAATCAATCCTAGAGAAGGATAGTCTCTTAAACACATAGTGCTGGGAAAACTGGATCTCCTCATGCAGAAGTGAAGAGTTAAAATTGTATGTGTGCAGGTGTAAAAAGTTAAGCTTAAGCTTATAGGTTTAAACCTTCCTGGTGCAGTTGTGAAAATAAGACAGAGTGAAGTAGCACCTTGACAGTAGGGACTCCATTTTGGAGCACTTGAGACTGCATTCTGGGAAAGCAACCCCCCCCCCCCCCACCGTGAGACTCTGGTCTGAAACTATGATCTCAAATAGTCGGACAATAGCAGTGCACTACATCACCCTTGGCAACACACAAAAACCCTCTAGCATGATTGCTCAAGCTTAAAAATAAAAAGGTTACACCTGGGTTACCTGAGCTAATAATGAAAATGTGATTTGTCTATGTCTTAAGATCATAATTGCTGATTGTAAGATATTAGCAACCGCTTAGCAACTGTGTGTTCTCTCCCCCCTCCCAATTTTGTGGTTTTTGCCTTTATAAACCCTAACCTTTGGTTATACGGGGCTGCTCTGCTTTTGTATGATCAGGCAGCCCCAGCATGCTGGATAATCAATAAAGCTTCCCCGTGCTGTTTGCATAAGAGACGTGTCTCTTGATGACGTTTTTTTCGGGCGGTGGACTCTAACATTTGGAGGCCCCAGCGAGATCGCGGCTGCCCGTGGACGCCTCCAGCGGACGTCTCTTGGGGTAAGTAAAAAGGCGCCTAAGGTAGGGACTCAGTATATGCGCGCTTCAGGTTTCAGTTTTTCGGGTTACAGGCCTGTTTCGGTTTTGGTTTTTGGGTTGGCACGGTACGCACTGTGGCTGGCAGACGTGCCTGGAAGCCCCAGGCTACCACCTTGGGGGACGCCCCGAGAGGACCGGGAGACAGGACGCTCAGCGAAACTCCCATCAGAAATTCCCCTAGGCGGGAGTTTTGTGCCAACAGCAGTTACATTTTAGGTTTCAGTTTTTTGGGAATTGCTTTTCTGTCTGTAACATGGGTCAAACTGTGTCCACGCCGCTATCTCTTACTTTGGCTCACTGGCCTGATGTAGGGGCTAGGGGATCTAATCTCTCTCTCCTGATTAAGAAGGTAAAGCAGCAGTCTTTCTGTGCCTCTGAATGGCCTGCTCTGAGTGGATTGGCCCCCCAGAGGGCTCATTCCATTTACCACTCATTTGCTGAGTGAAAGAGGCCATTCTCCTGCCTGGCCGTCAAGGGCACCCGGACCGGGATTTTGAGAAGACATCGGAGGTCAGTATTCCTTCCCTCAAGCGGGACCGGATCTGTGGAAGTGACCGTTGAGTGTCTGGCACCCCACAGCTCTCCGAGAACGCGGAGTCCCCCGGCCACAGCTTAGCTACGGCCGAAACTCCAGAGGGATTGTAAGGAACGGAGGGAAATTAGGAAGGGCAGTTGGCTGAGAGCCTGGAGACCCCCTGAGCTCGCTTCGGCTTCTTGGTGGCCGGACTGTGACCCGAGGATCAGGTCTCTCTCTCGGAGGGACGCCTGTCATGCTGCCTATTGCTACGCGAGCAGGGCTTAGCTTCAGTCGAGGCTAATATTGGCCCTTCAGGTAAACTCAAACAACTAGGTAGTGGGTAACCTTGAGCGATAGGAGATTTCAAACCCCACTCAGCCCCCAGACATGAGGAGCTTCATTGCTTTCTGCCTTCCTCCTCCTCCCGGGGGCTCCCTCCCCCACTCTTTTGCTCTCCTCATCTCCATTCCTATACCACTGGCCAGGAGAAAGGGAGAGGGAAATTCCACAGGTCTCTCCACCTAGGGAAAAGCTGTTACCTGTTACCTGTTAACCCTTTCCAACCTGGTAGAAAGTTTTCTGTCTTTGCAGCTTATGGTAGCTCTGGTGCGTCTTAAAGTTTTTTTGTGAACTATTACTGTTGCTAAGCTTTGATTACCTGAGGACTAAATCTGGAAAAGAGCTAGTTAACTGTTGTAATTGACTGAGTGTCAGCAGTAGTCCTAATTAATCTGGCTTTGGTTAAATTATAGGAGGTTCCCAACACTCTTGGTGAAACGGCGCACCTACCCAACCCCAAGGCTAGTCCTGCCAGGCCCCTAAGTGCGCAGTCTTCCCTGTAAATGGGGGACCACAGCCTTTCTCTGCACTCTATTCTAGTCCATGTGGCCTGGGGCACCCAGGCAGGCATAGCCAAATATCTCTAGGCAGAGCCCCCACCCCAGTGTTGCTTCTTTTTCCTCTCCTGGAGGAATTTCCAATTCAATACTACTGCTGGCCTTACCTAAGGGAGCCAGAACCTTAAGCCATTAACCCTTTCCAACCTGATGGGTTTTTCTCTTTGCAGCTAATGAAAACCTAAACAATGGGTTCATATGCTGATAATCAACTCTTTTCTGTGCTGCTGTCCCTGACTCATTTGAGAGTGTTCACCTGTCTTGAAGGTTTCGCGTTTTTCTATTGCCATTAGAGTCTTGATTGGAAAAACTACAATGTGAAGTTTATTTACATTGTTTATCTGTTTTTAATGTCTGAGTGATTACCCAACTGATCAGAAATGTACTAATTTTGGCTAAATGGTTTGACTCTCTGACAGCTTAAATTCTAAACCGAGTCTTCCAACTTTGGGCTTCCAGCCGGATCCCTGGAACTCTCAAAGGATGAGACTCTAAATTTGTTATAGTAACAGCTGCTTGGGTCAATTCAGATTATATAAAATGTATTAAAATGTTATAAATGAGCCGGCGCCGTGGCTCAATAGGCTAATCCTCCACCTTGCGGCGCCGGCACACCGGGTTCTAGTCCCGGTTGGGGCGCCGGATTCTGTCCCGGTTGCCCCTCTTCCAGGCCAGCTCTCTGCTATGGCCAGGGAGTGCAGTGGAGGATGGCCCAGGTGCTTGGGCCCTGCACCCCATGGGAGACCAGGAAAAGCACCTGGCTCCTGGCTCCTGCCAGGATCAGCGCGGTGCGCCGGCTGCAGCGGCGGCCATTGGAGGGTGAACCAACGGCAAAGGAAGACCTTTCTCTCTCTGTCTGTCTCTCACTGTCCACTCTGCCTGTCAAAAAAAAAAAAAAAAAAAAAAAAAAAAAAAAAAAAAAAAAAAATGTTATAAATGGTGTCAGACCTTTGCTGTATTCATGTTTTTGCTTTCCAGCTAAAGTGGTCTTATAAAAATAAGAGTAAATTCTGTGTATACAAGCCTTTATGATGTTAACTAAAGTAAGCCAATGCAGATTGGTTCAGAAAATTAAGGTAATACAAATGCCCTTGGTTTGCTCAGTGGCTTGCTTGCTCAGTTTTGCATGTCTTTGATATGCTTTAAACTTTAATGGTGTGGTATTCATTAATAACTCAGTGTCTTAAGTCATCTAGGCATCAGTGCTAAGTAAAACTTGGGAAAAATATATTATATATACTTTTAACATCTCAAATAAAAAAAAAAAACTGAGTTTGTTAACATGTATTCTCATAGGTTGTCCATACATGACAATTCAAGGCTATGTAAAAGTAACTACGGGTATAAAGTTTCAAAAGGTGTAAACAAGTCATAAAAAGTTTTAAAATGTTTACGATTTTAAAATATTGTTTACAGAGTTGAGTGCTAATGTTAGAGTTGAATTAGAGTTGAATTGCTCTTGCCACCCCAAAAACGCTCCAAGAGACCTTCTCTCATGTAATTAACAGAGGGTAAAGTTTATTGATGATCCGACATGTCGGGGGCCCCTGTCCCAGTACAGGTGAGCGGCCCCAAATAGTCTTGGGTTGGGGTTTTTATACACGTTTAAACAAAGAAAATCAATCATTGCATAGATCAGACAGAGGTATAGAGTAAACAATTGATACAAGTTAAGTGATTTTACAACCAGTTGATTTATGAATACAGGGAGTACCTAGGAATGCAGCCATGCAGCCGAATGGCGATAAGGGACACATGGTGGGATCAGGGGTCCAGGAGGCAAAGAGATATATGGTGACTTCTTCTATCTCACTTAGGTGAAACTAAGGTTACGCTCACATTGGGGTAATTTACTGACCAATTAACTTTATAGAGAATGGCTATGTAGAGCAAGTCTAACGAGGTCAGGAAAGTTCACCAGAGGAGGTTGGGGGGGGGAGCGGCTTTTAACTTTTTAACCCTTCACTAATGCCAAAATTACACTGACCTAAAATTGAAGTCTGATCTTCTGTTATAACAATGGGTTTAAATCTTGGAATCTGTTTCTGCAAAAACTGTAACATCTATTTTAACAGTGTCTGCTTAATCGATTACTACTGACCTCTTCTGTAATAATGCCTGGCCACAGTATAGGGCCCCAAACAACAAAACAAAAACAAAAACAAAAAAAAAGAGGTTAAACTAACAGCTACATCAAATTTTCGGTGTACGTGGTAAATGGGCAGAACTCCCCTTTTAAACCAAACTAAAAAAATAAAAAGTTACACTGACGACCTCAAAGTATACAAACAGGTCACCACAGTTGATCTTACCTAAAAGGTCATAGTTCTCTTCATGGGCACGGTCTTAAGTGTCAGAATTTGCCCATGACCATAGTTTTTCTAGCTCACCCTGATATTAAAAAAAAAAATCTCCAAAAATCAGGGTTGGGTTGAGCACCCGCTTGACTGAAAGCATAGAGGCTGGCTCCTTGGTCTACTTTATTAGAGACCAGAAGAACGAGGAGCAAGCTAGCAGCAAAGGATAGGCAACAGGCCAATCAATGGCTGCTTTACACGGTGATCTGCTGTCAAGGACACCCAGCAAGGCCAGTGCACCCCAAATGGCACCTGTTACTGATATAAGGAGCCAGGGCATTGGGCAAGCAGCTGTCATGACAGCAAATGCCTTCTGTCAGCTCTGCCAAGAGCACGGTCACCGGACATGGAACTGCCCTGGGTGTCAAAGGACTCCTGGTTCAGAACTGCAGACCCTGTGGCCCGGAGCTAAAAAGCCTTTGGTTCTGCCCAGCCTCTGCCCAGCTTCCAGCTCCAGCCACTGCTATTGAGGGGATGGCCTAGGGTCAGTGAAATGTAAGTTGCCTATTTCTATCAGCCTCCTATTCAGCTCTCCTCCTAGTCCAGCCAGGTAATGCAAGTCAACAGGGTGCCTCCCTTAAGGGAGATTTGCATCTCTTTCAATTCTCTTCCAGCATCCCATGGATAGCTCTGGGCCTCACACACCCAGCCAGGCCTTAAAAGTCTATCCAATAACATTAGAAAGTCCTCCCTGCCAGTTCCTAAAAACAGGGCTTTCAGTAACATCTAACTCAGATAGCCCTACACCGATTTGGACAGGTCCTCACTGAGGACTTAAAGGGCCTATCTCTTGAAGGCTGTGCACAATAATCCATAATATAAATAGTTAAATGTAAATAATTCATTAGTCTGTCTTCTTTCCCAGCCTGAGACTCTCGTCTTGTACATTGGCTTAACTTCCTAGCAAAACTGGCTACTAGATATCCGAATATATATATATATATATATAGTCTCTGGGTCAATCAGACTAGACAGACACAAACCCAAATTTGTACTTTTTCTGGAAAAAGCCAAACAGCTCCAGGACCAGGCCAAGCAGGGCTGGGATTTCTGGCCTAACATCTGATCATAAAAATCCTGGCTATTTCCTCTCCTTGGCCCACTAACTTCTGCAATCTTGATGCTTCTCTTTGGGCCATGTGTGGTTTTTTTTTGTTTTGTTTTGTTTTGTTTTTTTTTTATTTTTTGACAGGCAGAGTGGACAGTGAGAGAGAGAGACAGAGAGAAAGGTCTTCCTTTGCCGTTGGTTCACCCTCCAATGGCCGCCGCGGCCGGCGCGCTGCGGCCGGCGCACCGCGCTGATCCGATGGCAGGAGCCAGGAGCCAGGTGCTTTTCCTGGTCTCCCATGGGGTGCAGGGCCCAAGCACCTGGGCCATCCTCCACTGCACTCCCTGGCCACAGCAGAGAGCTGGCCTGGAAGAGGGGCAACTGGGACAGAATCCGGCGCCCCGACCGGGACTAGAACCCGGTGTGCCGGCGCCGCTAGGCGAAGGATTAGCCTAGTGAGCCGCGGCGCCGGCCTGGGCCGTGTGTTTTTAATGCCCTTGTTCGTTTTGTCTCTAACAGACTAAAAGCTGTTGAACTCCAAATGGTCATCAGGCAAGACTTCCAGCCCATTCCACTGGACGACTTGAGCAGCCCTCTGGACCGAGCAACACAGTCTTTCCAAGGCCACTGTTGCACACCATAAGACAGGTAGCAAGAGGAAATACCCAAATCCCCTTCAACGCCCACATGCCAGCTTCGAAGAAGTTACAGAAAATGGAACTCCATCCATAATCCCAAAGAAGAATTTGGGGTATTACCTCTTGAGGGAAAAATATTAGGCAGAAAGTCAGTTATGAGCTTATGTGTGTGTGACATAAAGGCCTAATGTGTCCAGCATATGCATCTGCATCTCAGTCATCCTGACAATGTTTCACGGGCAGCCTGGCCTTTGCATCCTGCCCTGCCCCCTTCTACCTGATAACCTGCCAGGTGGAGATCCCCACCCCTTCTGCCTGACAAATCTTCCACAATCTCCCAGATGCGGCCCAGTATCTGCATTTCAGTATTACAGAACAGGCGGGGGTTGAATCCCATTTTCATGGTTGGGGGGTGGTTATGCGTGGCCCTAAAGGAAAAATGTTGTTTTTATGCTGACTGAACCGGGGTGATTAGAAACTCCATGGCCAAACTCAAAAAAAAAAAAAATGACTGGAACAATGGCAACGGGAGAGGGAAACTTAACAGGGATGGTTTGAGTCATGGTTTGGCTGGTCCCCATGGCTTACTACCCTACTGTCAGCCCTAGCAGGACCCTTAATTATTCTACTCCTAATTGTAACCGTAGGACCTTGTGTGTTAAATAGACTCATCACCTTCATACGGAAACAAGTTAAAAATGTTAAACTCATGGTCATAAGACAACAATATGTCACATTAAAAGAGACAAAAACGAATAATCTCTAAGATTAGAGATCCTCACAACAAGGAGTGGGGAATGAAGAGTTAAAATTGTATGTGTGCAGGTGTAAAAAGTTAAGCTTAAGCTTACAGGTTTAAACCTTCCTGGTGCAGCTGTGAAGATAAGACAGAGTGAAGTAGCACCTTGACAGTAGGGACTCCATTTTGGAGCACTTGAGACTGCATTCTGGGAAAGCAACCCCCCCCCCCCACCGTGAGACTCTGGTCTGAAACTATGATCTCAAATAGTCGGACAATAGCAGTGCACTACACCACCCTTGGCAACACACAAAAACCCCCTAGCATGATTGCTCAAGCTTAAAAATAAAAAGGTTACACCTGGGTTACCTGAGCTAATAATGAAAATGTGATTTGTCTATGTCTTAAGATCATAATTGCTGATTGTAAGATATTAGCAACCACTTAACAACCGTGTGTTCTCTCCCCCCTCCCAATTTTGTGGTTTTTGCCTTTATAAACCCTAACCTTTGGTTATACGGGGCTGCTCTGCTTTTGTATGATCAGGCAGCCCCAGCATGCTGGATAATCAATAAAGCTTCCCCGTGCTGTCTGCATAAGAGACGTGTCTCTTGGTGACATTTTTTGGGCAGTCGACTCTAACAGAAGTATGAAGCAAACTCCTACTTTACACCTTACAAAAATACACTCAAAATGGATTAAAATTGACTAAAGATTTAAATAACAACCTGATACCAAATTATTAGAGAAAGTTGGGGTAACCCTGCAAGACATTGGCATAGAAAAAGACTACTTGGAAAAGACCAAAGAGGCACAAGCAATCAAAGCCAAAACTGACAAATGGGATTACATCAAATTGAGAAGCTTCTGTACTGCAAATGAAACACTCAGCAAAGTGAAGAGCCAACAGACAAAATAGGAGAAATTATTTGCAAACTATGTAACTGATAAAGGATTAGTAATCAGAATATATAGAGGCTCAAGAAATTCCACAACAAAACAAACAACCCAGTGCAGAAATGGGCAAAGGACTTAAACAGGTATTTTTAAAAAGAAATCCAAATAGCCAACAGATACATGAGAAAATGCTCAGGATCACCATTCAACAGAGAAATGTAAATCAAAACCACAAGGAAGTTTTACCTCACCCCCGTTAGAATGGCATTCACATAGAAATCAAACAAATGCTGCCAAAGATGTGTGGAAAACACATCTGATCCACTGTTTGTGGGAATGTAAACTGGTAAAGACACCATGGAAGACAGTATGGAGATACCTCAAAACATCGTACTTAGTGAATAAGCCAGTCTAAAAAGGACAAAAACCATATATTCTCCCTGACCTGTAATAACTAATAGCACACCTAAAGATAACCTACAGAAATGCAATTGACACTTTGAGAAGCAATGACTTTGAACAGCCCTTGTCTTGACTATTGAGGAACATTTTTTTTCACATTATCTGTTGAACTCTTCACTTAGTATAGAGTTACTCATATGTGTATAAAGTTAATTGAAAATAGATCTTAGTAAAAAATAGGAATGAGAATAGGAGAGGAAGAAGATGAAGAGTGTGGGTGGGAGGGTGGCTGTGGTGGGAAGAGTCACTATGTTCTTAAAGTTGTAATTATGAAATGCATGAAGTTTGTCTTCCTTAAATAAAAGGTTTCTAAGGAAAAAAGATATGAAAGGAACATTCCAGGAAAATTTTCATTTTGATGATTTGGGTCAAGGCTACTTGGTAGCAATATTTAAAAGCAAAGAATGAATGATGCATTTTTCATCTTATGTATTTTTAATTATTTAATTTTTTGTTTTGAAAAACAAAATTTTGTAGAGAGCAGAAGGCAGTGGAAGATCTTCTAGCTGTTGTTCCACTCCCCAAGTGGCTGTAACAGCAAGAGCTGGGCCAGACTGAAACCAGGAGCCAGAAGCTTCATCTGGGTCTCACACATGGGTGGCAGGTGCCCAAGCACTTGGACCATCTTCTGCTTTCACAGGTGCCCTAAGCAGGGAGCTAGATTGGAAGTGGAGCAGCCAGGAAAAAAACCAGAACCCATAAGGGATGCTTGAATCCCAGGCAGCTGTTTAACCCAATATACTGCAATGTCACAATTTTTGTAAATTTAGACACTAGAAGTGAGTGTTGACAACTCAAGAAATTAAGCTTCTGCAACTTAAGTGAGAGGCTAGGACTATATTCCTGGCTCTCAGTTATGACCCTGTCCCAGCCCTGGTTGTTGTGGGTGTGAATCAATGTGGGTGTTGTGGGTGTTGTGGGTATGAATCAATGGATTGAAGGTGTCTGTCTCTATCTCTCTCTCCCTTTCTCTCTGTCATTCCATAACACAGAGCAGGCTAAGCCTCCACCCACAGTGCCAGCATCCCATATGGGCACCAGTTTGTGTTCCAGATGCTCTTCTTCTTTTTTAAATATTATTTGAAAGTAGAGTTGCAGAGAGAGAGCTGGAGAGACAGAGAGAAAGGTCTTCCATCTGCTGGTTCACTCCCAAAATGGCTGCAATAGTTGGAGCTGGGCGGATACAAAGCCAGAAGCCAGGAGCATCCTCCAGGTCTCCCACTTGGGTGCAGGGGCCCCAAGAGTTGGGCCATCCTTGACTACTTTCCCAGGCCATAGCAAAGGGCTGGATTGGAAGTGCACCAACTGGGACTCAAATCAGTGCCTATATGGGATGCCGGCACCACAGGCAGAGGCTTAACTTACCATGCCACAGCAAGGGCCCCAGATGCTCTTCTTTGCATCCAGCTCTCTGTTTTTGTCCTGGCAAAGCAGTGGAAGATAGTCCAAGTCCTTGGGCCCCTAAACCCACCTGGGAGACCCAGAGGAAGCTCCTGGCTCCTAGCTTTGGATCAGCCCATCTCCAGCTGCTTTGGCCATTTGGAGACTGAACCAGTGGATAAAAAATTTATATGTCTCTCCTCTCCCTGTAACTATGCCCATCAAATAAATAAATAAAATCCTTTTTAAAAAAGATCTCTCTATATTTCCATCTGCTTCTCATTCTCTCTCAAGTATATAAATACTTTAAGAGGCAAAAGATTCAAGTCAAAGACTAGAGAATTGTCTTGGGCTCTGACTATAGTTTATGCCATTGATAAATGGAATAATTTGCTTGAAACATAACTTTGTGGACTCTGAAGTAGTCCTGCATTTGTAGAATCACTGTGATAAAACTATGGAGAGTTATTTAAGGGCCTGCAATAGATTTGATCCTATACACATTTTCTGATCTAATCCATGAAGCAAGTTCAGCCTCCAAAAGCTTTTAAAGAAACTCTACTTTAATAATTCAAAATATTACCTTTTTAATTAATTGTTTCTGATGTAGCAAATTCTTGCTGAAGTTTGAATTCAAACCATGTCTTGTAGCTATGGCAATAAAAAAAATTGAGACCAATGTGCATTCAGCTCAGGTGGCTTTAAATCTTGAAACCATGCTTACTTTATCTTATATGAATCCTGATTCTGAATTATATTTCTTTATGCTTTTCCAATTTATTTTAAAAATCTCATAAAGCTCTTAATATACAATGTGAAAGAAGCTGAGGAATAAATAAACAACCTACCAGCAATATATTTATTTTTGTTGGTCTTGGCCACATGTAGATGTCTCTAGAATCTTATCTGCAAGAGAAATTGCTGAGAAGGAGGGGTCAGACAAAAAGTCTAGATTCTTTCTAGAGTCTACTGTGCTAATCAAGATCATGAAGGAAATGTATATAGAAAAATGGGCATATTGGCTCAGTGACAAAAATGAGGTAGCCTCCCTGTGGGGGAATATAATCTTTACACATGGGAAAAACAGAAAAGATGCCAAAAGAGCACACACTAGTCTACCAATCACTATGATTAAGCATAAACTATTGTTAGACTAACTAAAATATTAATTTATTACCAATTCTGTAAAAAAAAATCCTTGTCAGGGCTGTCACTATGGAGTAGTGGGTAAAGCCATCTCCTACAGTATGGGCATTCATATGGGCACCAATATGAGTCCCAGCTACTCTACTTCTGATCTAGCTCTCTGCTATGGACTGGGAAAGCAGTGGATGAGCACCTAAGTCCTTGGGCCCCATGCACTCACATGGGAGACCTATAAGAAGCTCCAGGCTACTGGCTTCAGATCAGCCCAGCCCCAGCCATTGAGGACATGTGGGAGTGAACCAGCAGATGGAAGGCCTCTCTCTCTCTCTCCCTGCCTCTGTCTCTTTGTAACTCAGCCTTTCAAATAAATAAATAAACCATATAGAAATAATTTATAATGTTCATCACAATTGTTCAAATAAGCAGTGAAGAGTTAAAATTATATATGTGCGGGTGTAAAAAGTTAAGCTTAAGCTTACAGGTTTAAACCTTCCTGGTGCAGCTGTGAAAATAAGACAGAGTAAAGTAGCACCTTGACAGTAGGGACTCCATTTTGGAGCACTTGAGACTGCATTCTGGGAAAGCACTCCCCCACCGTGAGACTCTGGTCTGAAACTATGATCTCAAATAGTTGGACAATAGCAGTGCACTACACCACCCTTGGCAGAGCACAAAAACCCCCTAGCATGATTGCTCAAGCTTAAAAGTAGAAAGGTTGCACCTGGGTTACCTGGGCTAATAATGAAGATGTGATTTGTCTATGTCTTAAAATCATAATTGCTGATTGTAAGATTTTAGCAACCGCTTAGCAACCATGTATTCTCTCCCTCCTCCTGATTTTGTGGTTTTTGCCTTTATAAACCCTATGCTGTAGTTCCTCACTGCTCCTCTGTCCTTGTCAGAGGGCCCCAACATGTTGGATCAATAAATTTAACCCTTCGCTGGTTGCATGAGAGAAAAAGTCTCTTGGAGTCGTTCCTCGGGCAGTGGGTTTTTTTTTTTTAGACCCTAACATTTGGAGGTCCCACCGAGACCTGACTGCTGCCTGTGGACGCCTCCAGTGGATATCTCTTGGGGTGAGTACGGCGCCTATTGTTTTGATTAAACATGTACACTTTGATTTGTTGTTTGGTAAGGTTTGTTATTTGTTTGTAATCGGCAGCGTGGTTGTCGGGCTCGAGCGAGAGCTCCACCTGACTGTGGCGGGCAGACGTGCTCCAGAGCCACAGACCACATCCCGGGGGACACCCCAGGAGAAAGGGAAAACTGGGCACGCCCAGTGTTTCCTGTTTGGTGGGTTGCCTGCAGTAGGGAAATAGACTGCAGAGACTCACATTTTGTTTGTACTGCCGAAACTTTGGTATTTGATCGAGCTCATTAGTCTTCTATATTTGTATGGGACACTGTGATGGCTCCTGTTTGGTAGACACTTTGTGTGGTCCTTGTGTGCTGCTTCTCTACGCTGTTTGTTTGTGTACATTGTGTTGTTTGCTAACATGGGCCAGACCGTGTCTACACCTTTGTCTCTAACTTTGAATCATTGGTCGGAGGTAAGCCACTAGGTACATAACCTTTCTTTGTCAGTCAAAAAGGTAAAGTGGCAGTCTTCCTGTGTCTCTAAATGACCTGCTCTCGGAGTGGATTGGCCCCCGGAGGGCTCATTCCATTTACCACTCATTAGCTGAGTGAAAGAGGCCGTTCTCCAGCCTGGCCG